AGGTAAACAATGAATTAATCTTTTCTGTTTCTTATTGCAGTTTTATATTGTTTGTAGTGTGATCAACGTTTGCGTAAGTAGTAGATGTGCTAGGGAAGTAACACGTAACTTTTTAATTATATTTTGCTAAAATGAACGAAATGACTCGAAAAAAGATTCGTTCATTTTGCTGAACGAGACTCAAATGTCTGAGTCGGTAAAATGATCCGAACTTCCCATCACTAGATCAGCGCGTTAATAGGAGAAGGGACAGAGCGGTGTGGAATAAAGGTCAATTTTGTGAAAAATAATGCTTTTTTTTAAAAACGAAGCATTAACACATGCTAGACTGCAGCCCATAAACACAATCAAGCCTAGGAAAAAACCAATGAACCACCCCTTTAAATAAGATTTTTGTTTTAATTTAAAAAGATCAATAGATGTGCACATCCATATGTCTTCTGGTAAGGTGTTCCAATGAGTAATAGTTTTCACAGAGAAAGACGATAACCCAAAGGCAGAGTGACGAAAAGGAACAACACAATCACTAGTAGATGATAATCTAGTAGATCTTACAGAGTCTGTAGAGCGAAAATGCACAAAATCACAAAGTTTAGAAGTGGCCAAACCATTTAACATTTTATATACCATACACAAATAAAAAAAAAAAAAGTCTAAAATGATCAAAACTCAAAAAATTACATTTCTCCAAAACCCTACAGTGGTGATGTTGGTTAGGCTTTTTGTCCAGAATATTTAAAGTCTGTTTATATAGAGATTTTAGAGGTTTAATAACGGAAAAAGAAAAAGGATTGCAGCATGCATGAAAGTCTTAGCTACATCAGTGGGAAGACATTGTCTAATTTGTCTGAAGTTTACCAAGTTATATTTTATAGTCCTCACCATTTACTTTACATGTTTAAGATTAAGATTTAAGATTTGGATAGCGTTAAACCAAGATAATTAAACTCTGTAGCTATTTCTATCTTTTCATCGTTTATAAAAATGTCTGCATTGGAAGAACAATTGTTCCTCCATCCTGTGGGTCTTGCACATCTGGGGGGGGATCAAGCTGTAGAAAGAGGCACAGAAACCTGCCTTGCACCAGAAGACAGTGGTGTTGGGGTGGTCCAGGCCTGTGCGCCGAGGTTTTTTGTGGACGTTTCTCCCGAGGGAAGAGGAAGGGGGCCGAGCCCAGCTGTGGAGCCGTTTCTCTGGCTGTGTTTCTGCCCCGACGGCAACACACAGCCACTTTTATTGTGTGTGTGAAAGCTGGAGCGCTTGAGTGTTTGTTCCTCTGGTGTTTCCTGCTGCTAACGGTTCAATCTTTAAGTCACACGGGAAGGCATTATGTTAAAAGGCGAAACAATGCCAAAACGAGTTAGTATGCCACTTTTTCGAAAGAAAGTGTCATTTGCCCAAAACATTCTTCTGCGATGCAACATGCATCGTTTGTGTGTGTGGCTAAAGGTTACAATTGCTAAGACGTTCTGATAGGTTGCTAGGGTGTTGCTATGTGGATTCCTACTGTCAAGTGTAAAAAAAAATCTAGATATTTCTAGTCCCTTATAAGGTCACGAAGCAATCTAATCTAATTGCTTGACCAAAACAACATTGTACCCCACTGACTTTCACTATATACACAACAAACACTGATATGCCACTAAATGAGTAAATAATCATTTTTTGGGAAACTATCCCTTTAAAAAGTAATGCATATCTCAACAAGGCACATCATTCATATCCATTAGAGCTTCACAATATGGGGGGAAAATCAAAGTGCAACTTTTTCCGATTAAAATCGTGACGGGAAAAAAAATCCAGGTTTGATGTGCTTGTTTGTGATTAGATACATTACAGTATGGCTATAAAATAATAATCGTTAATATTACTACTAAATAAAAATCTAAAACAATTAAATAAAACAAAATAATTAATTTTATTCTTGTAATATTTCACAGTAAAATATTTTTATAACAAAATAAAAAAACATTTTATTTTACATTACAACTGCAGGAATACAATACTAATATTTATGGTTCTCCTAAATTCTTCATTATTAAATGTTAAAACATAGAACATTTATTTTGACAGACAACCACAAGAAAAAAATCTCTTTTGTTGATAAGTGCTTGTATGGGAAGATGGTTAGTGCATGTTGTAATCCCAAGTGCACGTTTAAGCGACTCAAACTCAGAGATGGAGTTTGTGTGGAGCAGCATTTACTGCAAATCGAGCTGCTCGTGTAAGACACAGTGCTGCACTTCAGTCTGAAACACGCAGCACATACAGTTTTATAATCACAGCCTCCGCTTTGATAATCACACTAAGCCGCATCACGATTTAGGTTGGTTTTATATTGATTAATCATGCAGCCCTAATATCTGTATAGCACAAATGGTGTGGGACGAGTTAGACACTTACGTTTAATTCTTAGGCTTACAGGTTTGTTCAAATCCTAGAACCACTCATAATACAAACCGTAAAGCTTGAACACCCCTCAACCGCTTATCGCTGCAGATGGGCTTTAAACATGGCAACGTTCACAATACAGCCTGAGCTGAAATCAGTACCAAACACTCCCTCAAATAGGCCTGAGGTTTCACCGTTCCAACTCCATTGTGTGCAACAATACACTTAAGCAAATACATTTGGCTTTTGGGGAGAAAAAACACCCATTAATTCCAGGCAAGGGGGGACATGAAGCACCCAAACCAGATGTGAGCTCATTAAACAATCTGAGTCCGAGATGCATTAGGACAAACATCTGTTAGGAAGGCGCGAGGAGAAGAGAGCGAGGGACGGAAAAGAGCAACGAGGGAGGAGAAAGGCTGCACTTGCTCAAAGCAAAAGCACAAGCATGTGATTGCACTTCTAAATAACACTTCTGTAAACAATATATCCAAAAGGACATTTGGAAATGGCTCGCACTTAAGGAAATCATTGACCGGCTCTTTTAATGCAATCCAGCTCCTACCTGTGGCTGCCAAGCTTTGAATGGAGAAAAACACAAATCTGACCCTAATTTTAGGATGGACTAGAAGAAAAGCCATGCAAACGCAAATGCATATAGTTGCACTCATACATATACAACAAATGCACAGCTTGAAAAAATCACTGGCAGAGCCTGCAGGGAAGGACACTAAAATAGCAGATTGTCGATACTGGTCATTTGCTAGCAAACGAGAGGGCCTACGCTCTCCACCTTTCCCCTCTGCGAGGCCTCCATATGCAGCTCGTAAAAGACACGCAAAACTGGCCTGATGGATCCATCTCAGGACCAGGAAAACGAGCCCCGGGGCGGAGGAAGCAAAACGAGGTGAGGGAACGCTACCGAAAACGGCATTCGTGGCCTAATGAGCTACACTTAATGCATTTTAAAGGGACAGTTGACGAAAAAATTTAATTCTGTCATCATTTACTCATTCAAATATTGGTCCAAACCTGTATGAAGACTTAGAAAAATAACTGAAAGAGTGTAGTCTGTACAATGAAAGTCAGTGAGGTCCAGTGTTGTTTTGGACCCCATTGACTTTCATTGTACAGACAACGGTCTCTCAAATATCTTTCATTGTATGGATACTACAGACGTGCATCTCCACAACTAAAGCCAATGTGATACGCATCTCGATGTATAGCCAACGATATGATATATTAAAGATACATATGAAGCAGCTACCCATGCATTGCAATACAATTCACCCCTATTAGGATGCGGTGCGATCCAATTTCGATTCGATTCAACTCAATGCGATTCAATGCAATACAATGCAATGGGGAAACAAAAATAATGCTATGCAATTCAATATGGCACAGATAGTTTGCTTTTATTTCTTTGGCTCAGACAGACAGCAAATTATAAATTAATAAGTGCCTCCTGACTTCTAATGCCTCTGTCGTATTGTTGTGGTACGTCATATTCATGTAGCAGCAGTGGTGATGAGAGAAAGCGCTTGAGAAACAGTTTAGAGAGGAGAAATCAATCTACATATAAAATATTGGTCAAAAAATATTGTTCACTTTCTAAATAATAAAAGTATACCGCATCTACTAAGAATTATATATAAATACATAGTTTTTTACCAATGCAAATATGTTAGAAATGATGCATTGTGATACAAATGTCAACTTGTATCTGATGCACACTTCTTTAAATCAATGCATTGCATCGTTAACTTATATGCAGATGCACCGATGCGAATCGGTGAATCTTACCATCCCTAATGGATACAAAACACTTATTTTCTGGTCTGCAGCAGTGTTGTTAATTAAAACTAAAACTATTTAAAAAAATTTCGGTAATTGAAATAAAGCTGAAATAAAAAAAGATATATAAATATTGGATGAAAATTTTATTTTGCCTTGGCAACTAACTGAAATAAAATAAGTTGAAGTACTAAAGACACTAAAACGAAAAGTGTAACGAAAGAATAAATAAAAATTAAAGATATATAAATACTTAAATTATAAAAAATGACAAAAAAAATGACCTGTGACTGATATAAAAATTAAATATTTATAAATACTAAAGTATTCATTTGACATTTTGTCATGGCAACTAACTGACATTAAATGACAGATATAGAAATACTTCAAAAATAATAAAAATGAAAATAGCACAAAACAAAATTACTCAAACTAAACTAAAAAAGAAAACTGAAAAAAAAAAATCAAAATACTAAAATAGAATATAAATAATGCTAAAGTAACAGAAAGAAGGTTTTACAGGTTTGAAATGACACAAAAGAGTAAATGATAACAGAATTGACATTTTTGGCTGAACTATCCCTTTAAATGTGCTTAACTTTCGAAACTTGATTTTTCAAAGTCTGTATAACTTTCACAGCTCTGTGCGGATGCCCCATCCCCTTATCTAAACATCACCCATGTCCATCCCCAGCCCCTGCTGTTTTCACTCATCCGTCTCAGCAGACGAGCCATCAGCCTGCGTCCACTCCAGATCACGGACTCGCCTTGACTGCATGACCTCCCTCCACTTTTACACGTCTCTCCCGAGACCCGCACACTCTTGGAGTAGCATTGCGCTCATTACTACTACAGGTGGAAGCCAGGAAACAGAGAGACTAACTAGAGGCAGAGAGTAATGAGGGTTCTAGTTAAAGGGGTCACCGTCGATACACACAGCAGAGAAAGAGGGACAAACAACCCTTGTACGGGCTTGAATAGGGAACAACTTTACAATAAGCCAGAGGACAGAAGGTGTTACTCAAGACGAGGCATCACACTCGCCAATTGATTTCTATTCATTAGGCGTAGAAGCTGTTCAGGGACGCATCACATTGGTTAGATGCATGCGCTAATTGTGCAACCGTGTCCGCAAAACCAAGAGCCAAGGCCAGAACATTTGCTTCGTGATGTCAGGAATGTAATACAATAATTAATTCATGTGATATGAGCTCCTGCAGGGGTTGATAGCGATGGCTTTCGAATTCCGTACAGGTATTTCTGATTGCTCTGTGCACATGTTGTTGACATTATAGTGCATTTTTGATCTGGGAATTATGAGCGTGGTTCCAATGATCCAATTAATATGGATGTTTTATACCTGACATTTTAACATGACTGTATCTTTACAGTTGCATAAAAGGTCAAATTGCAGCTTGGATCTAGTCAAACAGCTTTTTAAGCTCAAGGACAGCACTTATTTTGGAATAAAACACTATAAAAGTGAACATATGCAGCTGAAAATACATTTTTCTACCTGATTCGAGCCTTTAAATTCTTACATTTGAGAACCAGCGTTTTTATCCAGTTTCTTTGAGCTGAATCAAACAAGTTAATGTAGATGTTTCCCCACGAAGAACATTTTTACATTAACTGATCTCTCTTTAAAGAGTCTTGATTTCAAAAGTTGGTTTTCAACATTTCAGCTTAAACACTGGATGATCAGACTAGCAACAGCTTTGTGAATCCCTCATGGTAATGTACTAAACCTTGTATGGGAATCTGTGTGTGTGTGTGTGTGTGATTGAGTTTTAGGCACTATTGACTAAGGAAGGATGTGAGTCCATTGTGGCTCAACAATGAGAAGATCTTCCCTCCAGGAGCCCAATTTGACTCTCAGTGGGTTTGAGGAACATCTGGGCTGAAGGGACGACCGTGTATGGGCCCCCAGCAAGCTATTCCCTGCCAATTGCATTTAATGCGGGAATGCTGTCCAGGACAGGCTGGAATAAACATGAATGGAGCACAATTATACAGTTACCACTCTCTTCTCCCTCCACTGTTCATTAACAGACAATGACGAGAGCGTATGCCAGCCCCACGTCACAATAATAAAGAGCTTTGTTAGAGGCTTCCAGTCTCCTCTATGCTTACAGACACTGCATGAATCACTACATTATAACGGACCATCGATTGTTCTTGGATGTGATGATACATACTGGCCT